CAAGACACGAAATAGGAATAACAATTCCCACAAACAAAACATAATCAAATTTTATATTATCCAACATTCCTTCATTCCATCTCACTATTTTTCTTCTTTTTTTTCTTCGTTTTAAACCTTCACAAACCAGGACAGACCAGCGTTTTGTTTAAGTAGAGGTTTTACGGCGCTCGGAACTGCATAAGATCATATGAGCGCCAGAAGATTAGATGTGTTACAAGAGAGTAACAAACATAAAAAAGAAGGAGGGGAGATGAGGACGATAGATGTTTGATAGGAAAGAAGAAGCAAACCCCATCAGAGCACCCGCCAACCACCCGTTCAGACAGACCAGTGTGGTAAAACCGCGCCATAAACTGCTCGCCCCAGGCATGTTATTCCCCGCAAAGTGTGCGGGTGAGCACACATCTTTCCACTCACCCGCGCCCATATTTCCGGCAGATACGTCTTGCTCGTGCTGTGGCGCAGGTCACTCCTATCTGCTTGTTCAAATAAAACCGGCCGAATCCCCGCCACTACGGCCGTGTACAACAAGGAAATAAGAGCCACAGAGTAAACGACGAAGGAAAGGGAATACAACATCCAAATAAATAGTGAAAGAAAGAGAATACAACACCCAAAATAAATAGAGAAAGAAAGAGAATACAACACCCAAATAAATAGAGAAAGAAAGAGAATACAACACCCAAAATAAATAGAGAAAGAAAGAGAATACAACACCCAAATAAATAGTGAAAGAAAGAGAATACAACACCCAAAATAAATAGAGAAAGAAAGAGAATACAACACCCAAAATAAATAGAGAAAGAAAGAGAATACAACACCCAAATAAATAGTGAAAGAAAGAGAATACAACACCCAAATAAATAGTGACAGAAAGAAAATACAGCACCCAAATAAATAGTGAAAGAAAGAGAATACAAAAACCACAGTAAATGGTGAAAGAAAGAGAATACAACATCACAGTAAACGGTGAAATAGGAAAAATACATCACAGTAATCGGTGAAAGAAGAAGAAGAAAACTGAAAAAAAGAGAATACAAAATCCCCAGTAAACGGTGAAAGAAAAAGAATATTATACAAAATCCCAGTAAACGGAGAAAAAAAACCGAAAACCAAACCCCAGTAAAAAGTGAAAAAAAGAAAAGACAACACCCAGATAAATAGTGAAAGGAAGAGAATACAACACCCGAGTCAAATGGTGAAAGAAGAAGAATACAACACCACAGTAAACGGAGAAAGAAAGAGAAGACAACACCACAGTAAACGGAGAAAGAAAGAGAAGACAACACCACAGTAAACGGAGAAAGAAAGAGAAGACAACACCACAGTAAACGGTTCGGCAACATTTCCAGATTATGTAACAGGGCGGGGCTGGCAGCAACATAAAGCCATGTTTGGATGTTATCATTCAAGTGGAAGGAAACAAAAATTGGAATGTAACTTGTAACAAAATCGTTTCAAGCAACGGCATGTATTTCTAAAGTTTTTCCCGAATGTTCCACAAACATGCACATACAGCAGAAATCTAGAGACCAAACAGCATCGTCATCATCATCATCATCATCATTGCCTTTCTCACACTGCACCAGGGTATAGGCCACGGACAAACACTCTCCGTTGTTTTCTATCCTGGGCTAGCCTCTTGATGTTATTCCATGTCTTCCCACTTTTGAGTACGTCAATTTCTGTAGCTCTTCTACTAACAGCATAGGCCACGTAACAACCATCTGTATACGTGTGGATGGACTCAACTAAAAACTCACGAACATGTCACCAAAAAGTTGCAGAAAAGTCATAACACAACAAAACCACATATAACGCTTCTACAAAGACGGTTAATTGCCAGACGATTGCATGAAACGTCAACTGTAATTCCATTGTTCTGAGGCTTTCTACAACTGTTTATCCAGACATTTATTTTTAAAGACTTTTCTTTCAATTATGGAGCCTCTTTGCAGCTTTAATAGCATATTGTATTGATATATGTATGTGCATAACACTGAACGGATAGTTCCGTCTTAGAATTTGAGTTTGAGCAAAGAGAATCATTTCGTGCTGGAGAAAAACAAGACAGACAGACAGAAAGCACAGAGGGAAAGAAAAGAAGAAAGAGGAACCTGTGACGTCTTCCACACACCCGCGACAAGAAAGTACACCCGATAACCGACCAGACAAACCGTAGACGAAGAAGATTCTTTGCTCCAGGCACGACACTTTGAGCGGGGATTTGGTTTGAGAGTCTAAAAATCCCCAAGAACGATTTCGATTATTATTCGTTGTGTACACTTTAATCTATTCGACTATTTGTTCAGCGTAGAGATTCTGTGTCCCTTCAATATGGCGGTGTCTTAAAGCTGAAAATCAATTATTGACAGAACGACACCATCATTGGCAGGGCACTGAGATGAACCGGTCGGCAAGGGTCACCTCAAAACCCAGATCCATAATTCCATGTAAAATGAAACGGAAAAATTATCTTCGTATTCATCAAGGTAAAAGAAAACAAGTATGCACTGGCGTAAAAACTAGGTTAGGTCAAAGAAAGTACACAGAAAAAATCACGGCTTTTTGATCTCTTGCAAAATTGTCCTCAATGATTTCGCGTAATACTTTTTAGATATCGCCACAGGGGATGATTACAATGTTTTGTTTCGTTTCCCACGAGTTAATTTCTTTTGAACTATTTGTCTGCTCTTACTTTTGTATACAAGGTGCATCATTCCCTTTAAAAAATCCAACGATCAAGAGAATAAATAGATCTATAAATAGATCTAAATCTACTTCTTTACAGTGCAGGCGCACAGTTCCCAAGACGGCCACGCATTATCTACAGGAAAATTAGTTGTCTTAAACAGGCAGATATCTTGGACAATGTCATCATTATAATAATGTAGATCTTAAAAAGAACAAGGGTCTGACTCTAAATGTGTATTCACCAAACTAAATCATATCATTCATTTTTTTTTTTAGGGGCTGGGGTTATAATTTATTTCCTATTGTATTCCTTATTGCTCAAACTTGTGTGTCAAGTGGTTTTTTTTAAACTAGTTCTAGTATTACCAGTTAATTGTGGTAGCGGGTCGTTAACAATATAATTTGAGACAAAAAAGCATATCAGGTATCTCCATGTCGCGTCACTCAATGTTGGCACCTTTGACTTTGTTATTATTCCAGCATTTGGTTATTTTTTTCCTTCATTTTTTTTTTGGAAAGTGTTTTACGGTACTCGCAACTACTGCATAAGGCCATATGAGCTCGCGGAACACATTTGAAAAAATATTTTCAGTTGGTAGGAAATTTTGAATTTAGCCCGGGTGGCGGCTAAAGCCTACTCTTATCGAATTTAGATCACCAAGGGATCTTTAACGTGCGCAACGTGCACACCTAGCTTGTGTGAAGACAAGCATAAGGCGCACGAGGACGGGACTGTAGGTGCATCCGTACTACCTGACAGGGGCATAGCACTGCAGCAGATAGACGAAGAAAACATCAACACTAATAACGACAAGAACGAAAACGATGATAACAAAACATTAACAACATCAGCAACAACAATAAAGACGACAACAAACAACAACAACAACAAGGACGACGACGATGATGACGAAACAACAACAACAACAAGGACGACGACGATGATGACGAAACAACAACAACAACAACAACAACAAACAAACAACAACAGTAAGAACAATAACAACAACAACAACAACAACAATAATAACAACAACAACAATAATAACAACAACAACAACACCACCACCAACAACAATGCACTGATTTCCTCTCCCTCTACTCTCATTCAAATCCTATAACGATCAATGCCAGATTTTTCAGCCTGGGAAATCTCCCACATCTCATAACAGCGGACGGATTGGATTGCCAATTGGCACAAACATCAAAAGCCAATTACTGGCAACAGTCTAAGCCTTTCACCCTTCCGTTTCTGTCAATTTTTCTTCAAAATTGGGAGAGATATTTTTAAGCCAGTTTATCCAGGCTTCGAATGAAAGCAAAGGATGCCCGACACAAAAGGAAAGAGAAAGGTGTAAAGTGAATATTTTTGCGCCCCTATCGACATGATTTAGACCATTAACTCTTTATCTCCGGCAAGCCACTCCCAGTGGTCGTATTCGGAAACCCTGTGTCGGTGAGTCTTTGACAGCGGCTTGAGCACATTCCTTTACGACGACTTCTACATCAAAATATCAAATTACTTTTCAGCAATTGCCGAAAACAAGTCTCTTTTATCGGGAGTTCATTCATTAGATGAAGAACTATCAAAATTAGTTCACTTGTTTTGATTTAATGACCCATTTAGCGACGTTTTTGTCATTTTTAGATTTAGTATCAAGGAAAGGGCCCAGGAGATAAAGAGTTAATGGGGTGGGCTCTTTTGACTCTGTCTCTCAAAGACAGTAGCCAGGAAACGAGACAGACATGATTAATCAGCATTCTTCTCATCACTGGAAGGTCATTAAAAGTGAACTTGTTCCCGCATCCGATCCCGACACTGGGGATTGCCTTGTTAGTAAGACAACTTCCTGGGCCTTCGGCATATTGTGGTAGGGTGGCCAGTTCCTTTCCACGCCGCCTTTGCTTCCTCAACTCGAAGTCAGGTATCCATTACTGCTGGGTGGGCAGGAGGGAGCGAAAAAAATACGTGTCCAAAATGAGGCTCAAACCCGGACTTTCCGCTTCGGAGACGAGCGCACTAACTGCTCCGCCACCCCACCCTCGGAAGGTTATTACGAGCCTTAAATATGTAACGTCCAGTTCCTATAGGAACAAGCCAAGAAGGTGAAAGTTCAAGAACTTCCCTTTGGGGGCTATATCCAGGGTCATTCGTGCATACAGCCCAGTACGATACCAGACTGAGCTAACTGCGCACACGAAGACATGGAGAAAAAGACACACAAACAATGAAAACAATTAGAAAAAACAAACAAACAACACAAGTAATGTATAACTTAATGTAGGTAGCGCCACTGACTTACCTCCACATGGACGTGTAAATCCCCGAACACCGGATGTGACATCAGCGACACACTGAACACTTTCCCCGCGTACGCCGTCAAGTCAGGAATGTCAAGGTCAGAGCTTTGTGCAGACGCCGAGGGCAGGAAGCCCGCCATCCAGACAAGGAGGAGAAGGAAAAGGCGGGAAATGGCGGCACCTCCTCCTCGGAGGGCAGCCATGTTGTTGAAAGTTCTGATGATCCGACGAGGCGCGGATTTGTTGTTGCTGTCTCTGTTCAAGTGTAACGAATGTGACTCTTGTGACGCTTGTAACGTTTGTAACGCCATATTATCACCACCAGGGGGAGACAGACAGACAGAAAGGGAGGGGGTTGTTTAGGCGGCTTTAACTGTTGATGTCTCTGTTGGAGCGTGACGTCATATCACTAGGCCTTGATCGGTCGATTTAACTCTGTATGTACCACGAATTATCAACACATGGTCAATGTAAAAAGAAGTGATGAAAGACACAACCGACGTTCCGGCGGTCGTTGAAGAAACTTGAACGGTCGATTTAACTCTCTGTGTACCACGAATTATCAACACATGGTCAAAAGAAGCTAGGAAAGACAACAACGTTCTAGCGTGAGTTGAAGAAAGAGTTGGGAGAAGGGAGAGTTGTTCCCCTTGAAGGTCACGGGTCTGCCTGGTCTGATGTTGAGGAGGTCAGTGGCTTGAGGCTAAGGTGACATGATGGGGGAACAGCTACGGTTGGCGGTGATGACGTCAGAGGTCACGTGGCGACAAGGCAAGGCTTCATGATGACGTCAGCCTCATCATTATGACGTGAGCATCACCACGGGACGTGAAGGTAAGCCTGAAATAAAAGAAAGAGCATCTGTCAGTATTATTCCATACATAGACTTACACTCTTTTCCTAGACCACACACTGTTGCAGTCGTAGCTCTAAGAACAAATCTGTTTTTATTTCTCCTTCAGTGAATAAAAGAACAAGAGATCATGGCATTTTAGTGATTTTAGTAAGTTACTGTGACAACTTTTCCCATTTTCGAACAAACCAGTTTAATTATTTCTTTTAAACCAACCAATGTATTAAAAGTTTTTAAGATGCACAGAAAATATGGGTAATCAACCCGGTACCGGTACTAATACGGAGAGTAATTGGCTATTTGCACACACACAAAAAAAGTTTCATTCAGATATTTAGATTCTAGATATAATGTTTCCAAGATCGTCGGTCGTGGCAAGCTGGAAAATAATAAACGGGAAGGGGGGGGG